TGCTCTTAGCCTAGCCCTTTTATATCTTGGAGCCAGCTGGGATCAGAAATCCATTGAGTGTCCAGGTGGACCCAGACCAACAATTTAACACCTTCCATTGCCCTCACCTGGCTCTGAGCCCACCACAGTCTGTTTGCACCCTTTGAAGAAAACCACAGGGCAGGAACTGAGCTTGTGTCAGGAGCCGTATCTGTCTTCGCCTCACTAAGCTAAGAGAAGCTCCTCTGTGCCATTTGCTGTAGAGCTCCAGGAGGATCTTCAAACCCTGTTTTCTGACCCTGAGTTCTTCCCACCACTGGTTCATCCAGGATATCTGCCTGCTTGCCCCTGTGTAGCCTGCTGCTGCTCTAAGTGCTCATTACATCGCATTAGTGCAAGAAGCTGAATGACAATGCTCTTTTGCTCTTTTAAAGGCGCCACTGCTTCAAACGCCGACACAGGGTGCTCACATATAAACACAGAAACAGCCCTCCATGTGAAATCTGTGGAAAACCACGATGCTCAGGAGACTTTGCACACCTAAAAGGAGGTGACTCCCGTTAAGCACTCCTGCCTGTGGACTACACCTGCATTTGTAGTGTGGTTGTATGGGGTAGCAGCAGGACTCTTCCAGGCCTGGCTGCAAGGTGGCAGGGCCATCCGCTGTGTGGAACCCTCACAAGCTGGCAGGAGGAGCCCTGATGGGCCTGAAATACAGACAATGGGAGCCTCCGTGACCCCAGAGAAAGCCCTTCCTGCCAACAGCCACTGCCTGCAGTAACTGCAATGTGTCTCATGTAGAGCCTTCTCCCATGCCACACATCAGGCTACAGCAACCACACAGAGTAAAAGCCTTATTGTCCATCTTCCATACAGATGTTTCTGCATTCATGCAATGGAGGTGTGCATGTCTTTACATTGTTGTAGGGGTGATGCACACATACTTTGTGCATGCTTTTTTATGCCCTACTTTTTGCAGTGGGAGCACTGGCCTAGCCTGTGCCACCATGTTCTTTTGTAATCTGCTTATTCCTTTGGGGCTAGATCATCACACACTTCCCAGAAGAGTGTGTGGGTTAGGTGAGTAGGATGTCTAATCTTGACCCGTAATAATGTACTCCCATTGCTATCCAACCGCACTTCTGCTCTCAGCAGACCCTCCTGCTCCTTGATGTTTGCACAGCACCACGCAGCAGGCAGCATGATTGCCTCTCCAGCCAGCCCTCATCAGCAGGCACGGGTAGTAACTGAGTCTAAGGGAAGTGCTTCCTCTGCTCTCCCACCTTAGCCTACAGCCCATCTTTCCTCTACAGCTCTACAGGATGCCGCGATCCCATCTAGGTGAAGAGCATTCCTGTGCCTACCGTGGACACCGCTTATTTCACGCACCAACCAGAAAGGCTGTTCCACAAAGAACAAGACCTTTTCAGCTGCTCGGCACCGCAGAGGCTGGTACACATGGATCTCAAAAGGCTGCCTGTAGGGCTGTTGTTTGAGCAGTGCTCATGAACCAGATGTGCTCCTGCCTGTGCCCTGCCAAGGCACTGACCAGCCACGGTGGAGAGGCACCTAGGAAAAACGTTTGGACTTTGTCAGGGAGGGAAACTTCACCTCTGTACAAGCTGAGCATTGTTCCAAGTCATCCTGCCTCATCTCAGAGCTACTGTATGACTGCTGAATGCTTCATTTGACTGCAACACTTGCTGATAATTGGGTTAACTATAACAAATAAACAAAGTACTTTGGAGCTATTTCATTACACTTTAACACATCAATACTTTGCTTATGCTGACAGGATAAAACGCCTACACATACTTAAAGAGCAACTCTGTGAATCAACACTGGGAGTGCTGTAGATCCACCAAGCAATATCTGTGCTAAAACCACTTTCAAGTAAGCACCCTTTCCTAATTTCTACACACACATTTGAAAGCCATGTTGGGTGATGTAGAGACGGGAGGCAAGTGAAATGAACCTGAAATTCACGGAAATTAAATGCTTTGTTTGGAAGTTGTTACAGGAAGTGGAAAGCAACCTGGCTGAGAGGAAACAGGCAGGTCTCTCCAATCTCTTCCTCATGTATTTGATAGCTCCCACACGATGTAACGGCCCAGCTGTAAGCACCAATTTAGCTAGCACCCAAGACCACCACAAACGGGACATGCAGAGGAGGAAGGTAGGTGAAGCAAGCATCTCTTCAGGCCACTCGTCTTCAGCTGATCATGACTCCAGCAAGCTAATATTGCCCTGGGATGTCCACCAGGAAAATCATCTCCTCCTAATGATTTTGAGCCTGGGAAACTGGGCAGACAGGGTGGCAGTAGGAGTTGCCCTGGCTCTAGAGACCTATTGGAAGGAAACTTGGTATTGAACACCACCACCAAGAATTGTTGGGAAAAGGAACTGAAAATGCCCCGTGTGTTGAAGGACAGCCTCCGACAAGATCACTGTGTGTCTGGCCCCTACATGGTATGGGTAGTGTCCACGTATGGTACAAAATGGAAGTGCATGAAAGAGTGATTCAGCCAAAATAATCCTCCACAGAAGCTGAACTGCATTTGCAGACAACAGGGATGTCTGCACTAAGCATTCCAGGTACAAGGGTTCTGGCAGACGTGGCGTCTCACAGTGCCACCTTCTGAACCGAGGTCCAAAATGAGAAGGCACAGGCAGCAAGCCTGAGGAGATTCTACACAGTGATGGCAGGTTTTTCTCAAGCTTGTGCTTTATTAAAAAAGAGGCAAAGCTACAAAACTGGTAGCCTTTTCTTTGAAGACCCTTACTACGTGCTTCCAATGAACTTAGAACAAAAGTTCCTGGGGAAGATGGAGAGGGGAGGATTTCAACCTTACCTTCCTGGACTTTTACATGGATGGAGAGGACAGACCAACCCTTCCTACTCTTAGTGTCTGCAAACAGAAGTGAGTACTCAGAAAACCCTTGGGCACCACCGTGACATGAAATGGTCCATGCTTTCCCACAGTGAAAGATTTGAGTGACTAGTTTTATGGGTTTCCCCCCCACCCCCTTGTAAATCCCCCAGAGTGTCTGCAGGGTGGTAGGAATGTTTGGAATATAATGATTTTATCCTGATAAAAATGAGAAATTTTGAAAGTATTCCTTGTTCCAGAGCTTTTGTCCAAAGTATGTTGCAAACTGCGAGACAGAGCTGAGAAGTGACCCCTTGTCAATTTCCAGGAAAGAGGGAACTTTACAGAGAACATGGTAAGCTCATGAACTCTATCAGCAGAGGTACCTCATGTAGCAGTGCAAACTCCCATGAACTCCACTTTCACCAGATCAAAGGCCGTAGAACTACATGAACTTCCATGACCTTCTCTGGAAACGTCTGAGCTGATGCAGGAGTTTAGGCCAGCCCAGCAAAAAGCCCAAACTTGTTGGCAATTCAGATTTTCCACTGAAGTAACAAATATGGATCTTTAAGAAGTAAAATGAGATTTTAAAACACCAACTAGCAAATTATTGTGCCTGTGAGAGAGAGCAAGGATGACTTAAGGATGACATAAGGATGAACAAGGATGACATACAGAAGCCACAGAAACTTTTGCAAGGGATCACAGAATCATAGCATGGCTTGGTTTGGAAGGGACCATAAAGCTCATCTAGTTCCAACCCTCTGCCATGGGCAGAGACTTTCCATTAGACCAGGTTGCTCAAAGACCCATTCAACCTGGCCTTGGATGGAGACCTTCACTAGGATCTCTGAGTGAAAGGGAAACTCACGTGAACACACTGCTGCACAGCAAACCCAGCACACTAGGCCCCTCACTAATTCCCACCAAGTCCCTCATCCTAGGTACTCACAACATCGGCTCAGTTAGATGAGCTCTATCTGCCTGCAAAAGTGTCACAGCTCAGGAGGCACGGAGGGATACGGCAAGACTGAGCAAGCTGAGCACAGTCAGTGCCACAGCCCTAAGGATCCTTTCTACCTGCCATTGCCACTGCTGTTGGGACCTTGCAAGTACACTGCCCCTGGAGTAATGTTTGTCAGGAAGCCCCCAGCTCTTTTTGAAGTCCTTGCGGCATACCAGACATGCCGTTTAGCCTCCCAGAGCACCTCTGGTCCTTCCAGGGAAGCAGTTCCTCATACCAGAGTCAAGACATCAACAAAACAGGAGCTTGTGCGGGCCAGCTTCCATCAGTAGGCTGGGTGAATTTCTTTGGCCATTTCAAGTGCAAGGACTAGTTGCCAGGTTGCACTAACCTATATCCAGCTTCTCACATGTGCAGCTTTGTCTCAGCTTGGGAAGTCATTCCCTAAAGATGCTCTCAAGTTGTTGATTTCTCTTTTCTCTACCTCCTTATCTCAGTCTTTCTCTCCTCTAGGAGACCTTGAAGAGGTCTAGTCCCCTTTCCTTATGTGTTTATGTTATCTCTCTCAGCAAACCCTTTCTTGTCTGTTGTGATGTCTGGAGGCCTTTCTGCCCTTGCTAGATGGATACTTTTTTACTTTTGTCTCTTGTGAGGCCAGACAGCCCTACGGAGAGAGACCAAGATGATTGCTGTGCACTGAGAACCTGTCAATAAGTTCTTTGTCTTACTGTATGAAGCCCAAACTCCACTGTTAATGTCAGGAAGACTTCCGGAACAAGCAAGGATGGCTGGCCCCACTGAGAGCTTGTACAGTCAATACCAAAGAACAGAAAATCCAAATGGCATTGAAGAACTTGGAAGATGTTCTCGCAACAGCAAATTTCTGCGAGCACCCCAGTAGAAAAGTGCACTCCTATGCGTGACCTCTTTAATGATAAACTTTAGATGAAACAAAAGAAGTTTTAGCAGCACATTACAAGTTTCTTAACCACTCTTGGCTGCTGCAGTTATTTGAGATAAGGTCTGTTTTCAATGACCAACTAACACCAAAAGAAATCCTAGTTTCATAACGCAGGGCGGTCTAACAAATGATTGACTAGTAGTGTTGACTAAGCCGTGTAATCAAAAACCTGCTATTGAACCAACATAGCCCTTCTGTATATAAATTTGGGCTCCGGCAGCCAGAGTCACTCCCTCCTGAGCTGCAGAAGCAAATGGAGCTCCTGGGAGCAGCCACTATTGTCCTTCTAGTTTGCATTGCTTGCCTGCTTTCTGTTGCAGCATGGAGAGGGAAGTCTGGAAAGGGGAAGATGCCCCCAGGACCAGTTCCCCTTCCCATCCTAGGTAATGTGCTGCAGGTGAAACCAAAGAACATGGCTAAAACCTTCCAGAAGGTAAAGCTACTTTCTTCTCTCTTACGTTACTTTCTCTTACTTTATTCTATGGTTGAGAACCATGTACGACCTGTGCATGGGGACAACATGTGGCTCTAGCTTGATGAGTGGCAAGCCTAGAGGAGCAGAAAAGTGGTAGGGATCTCAGCTTCTCCCCTCCCTGCTGTTGCCATTGTTGTTCAGGGCCTGATAGCTGGAAACCCTCTCCACACCCAGAATTATCATGACAGGACCAATCTGGACACTGCTAGTCTGTGAGGCTGCACTACCTGCAGTGGGATGCAGCAGCAAGGCCACTTTTCAACTCCTCCTCCCTATCTGCTCATTCTCTCTTGCATTTTGACAGCTCAGTGAAGAGTATGGACCAGTGTTCACAGTGCACCTGGGCTCTGACCCAGTGGTGGTCCTGCATGGACATGATGTGGTGAAAGAAGCCTTGGTTGATCGTGCGGATGAGTTTGCTGGCAGAGGACACATGCCAATAGGAGACAGGGCTAACAATGGATTAGGTATGTTTGCTGATCAAGCTCCTTCTGAGGAGAAGGGAAGGGCTGAGTATGCATTTGGCAGAGCTGGAGTTCATTATACACAAGGGAAGACTGTGGGGAGTGAATGGGACCCACCTGGAGAAGGGAAGGGAAGGCAGAGTGGGCTGTGATTGTTGGCTTACATGACCTAATGAGGATAGCAGAGAAATGAAGCTGGATTGATACCAGTGAAAGGGTAAGCAGCAGCAGAAGCCACCAGTTGCAACAAGGGAAATTACATGTGGATATGAGTGATGACTTGTTTGATCACAGGGAGGCTGGCTATGTGGTGAAAAAAGCCAAAAGCAGGCAGTTGGGCTACAGGACCTCCAGAGATATTCTCCAAACCACAGTACTGACACCACCATGTCAATGCTGTCACAGGGACAGGATTCACTGTCACCATGAGCCTCTTCATCTCACACGTAGCATGCCCAAGCCAGGTCTTTCCTCTTCCTTCTTCCTCTGCAGGGATTGTGTTTAGCAACAACGAGGAGTGGTTGCAAGCTCGGCGGTTTGCTCTCAGCGCTCTGCGCAACTTTGGAATGGGGAAGAGGAGCATTGAAGAGAGAATCCAGGAGGAAATTGAGTACTTTCTGGAAGAGATTGACAAAACAAAGGGTATGGTCCATTTTTAATATAGGTTATGAGTGCAAAAAATAAAGACTGTATTAAGGGACCCATCTTTTCAGCATAGAGTTGAAGTTCCCATGTGTCTGGTCTGTGCACCAGCTATGCCCCATTACAAAGCAGTAAATAATTCCATAATCATGTACTGTTCTTTTTGGAGGACCCTTCTGTGTCATTGAGAGACTGTGATCTGATATTTCCTCTAATAACCAGGCCTCAGGGTACCCACAGTAGTCATAAGTAGCCATAGTTTTGGGTTTTTTTTAATGGTTTGTAACTTATCTGAAATCACAGGAACACCTTTTGACCCAACCTTTATCCTGAGCTGTGCTATCGCCAATGTCATATGCTCCATCGTCTTTGGGAAACGATATGACTATAAAGACAAGAAGTTCCTGGCTTTGATGAACAACATGAACAACATCTTTGAGATGATGAATTCTCTCTGGGGACAGGTACATTCAATAGCCATTTCACAGTGTCAATATTCTCCCAGGGAAGCAGGAGGCCTCCCTCCCAGTGAAGTTGCATTTCAGTCTTCTAACTAGGACTCCATCAATGCCCTGCTGCACAAATGGGAATTCATTCAAGAGCAAGAAGCATCCTCACCAATGGAGTTGGCTTTGCCAGCTAAGTGCAGCTTCCCCCTAGTCCTGAACATCCTTCTTTTCCACCTTTGAGATTTCTACTGCTACTAAGCAAGACCCTACCATGCTGTCAGACTGCCCAGCCTCATACTTGTGCCCAGCTTCATACTTGTGCCAAGCCTTCTGCTTGGCACAGTTGAGAGGGTTGTGGCCTTTCTAGGCTTTTTGCTAATATCAAAGAAAAGAGCAATGATCATGCTATGGACCTTCCTGTTTCTTTCTTTTCAGCTCTACCAGATGTTCTCAAACATTTTGGTTTACTTGCCTGGCCCACACAACAACATATTCAAAGAATTTGATTCTCTAAAAGCCTTTGTGTCAGAGGAAGTGAAAGTACACCAAGCCTCCCTAGATCCCACTTCCCCTCGGGATTTCATCGACCTCTTCCTCAACAAAATGCAGGAGGTAAGGAGACAACATAGAGCCCCAGCTCAGCCCCAAATACACCTACACTGAACCCCTTCCCTCTCCTAACACAGGCATTAGGATGACCCCTTCCCAGGCAGCTGCGCTGAGCTGTGGGAAGACACCAAACCTCAGATACTAACTCTGCTAGAGCTTACAGCTCTGGGTCTACACACTCACCAGCCACTTCCTGTAGCTGCTTGGACATCAAGACCTTCATCTGCTCTCACCAAAACACAGGGACATTTGCAGTCTGGTCTTGCAGTTCTTTTATTAGAAACTAGCCAACTGGCAGTTGGCATAGCAAGTGAAAAGAGGCAGCTACATAGCATTTGGTCAACAGCTTGAAAGAAGATTGCTGTGGGGTTGAGCTTACTGCATAAAGACAGCATTATAATGCCCCAGATGGCTGCTGCACCTTAGCGGAGAAATGCAACAGCTCTGGGTGAAAAGGCAGGCCTGGGATGACACAAGAGAGGGCCACTTTTCTTATCTCAGCTGGAGCAACATCCCAGCTTTTTCTCTAGGAGAAAGACTGTCCCAGTTCCACTTTCCACATGAAGAACCTGATAACCACCACCTTCGACTTGTTCATTGCTGCAACTGAGACAACTAGCACCACCATAAGATACGGGCTTCTGCTTCTTCTTAAACACCCGAAGATACAAGGTACCAGTCTGTGACCTCTTCCTCTTTAGCTGTTCACCTGGGCTGGGCACGTGTCCAACACCACAACTTTTCTCCTCCCTTTCTCATATTTTATCCAAATGGGCAAAGTCCCTGCACCATCTTTCCCCAGGGTGGTCATTAGAGATCCCTCAGCTTCACTGACATCATCATCAGCTACACTCTCCTCACGGCCCGGACCTGAGTGTGTCCACATCTTTGTCTTCCAGTACTCCTATTTAACCAAGTCACTAGGAAGACATTCTTTGCAGGGGCTGCAGTGGAGGTGTGTTCTAGTTGACACCAAAACCAGCATCACTGCTCCTGTCACCTGTGTTCTTTGGACAGCTTAGGGCAACCTGTTTAGGTAGGTTTGGTTTTCTTTACCCATTTTATGGTTTGTGCCTCTCATGACAGAGAAAGTTCAAGAAGAGATTGACCAGGTCATAGGACGATCACGAAGACCTTGTGTGGCTGACAGGACCCAGATGCCCTACACAGATGCAGTGGCCCATGAAATCCAGCGCTTCATCTCCCTCATCCCCATGGGCCTCCCTCACACTGTGACTAAAGACACACGCTTCAGAGAGTACGTCATTCCAAAGGTTAGTAGGCAAAGTGTGGAAGAGCAACTCTGCCCAACACCTTTGTTCACTTGCCCTGCAGTTTCACCTCCCTGTAGAAATACAGTGGGTTCACAAAAAACGCAGAGCAGTGACTCCTCACACAAAAGGCAGCAAAGCTGTGGAACTGCTCACCACCCTCCAGGAGAGACAGTAAAGTCAGTTGGTAGTTGCTGAGCACAGAGAGCCCCTCAGCCACAAAGTGCTGGAGTCTATCCTGGCTATTCAAGGGAACAAGAAAAACCTGTTTGCCCTGTGCTCACACACTGCTTGAGGCAGTCACTACTGGCTACTGCCAGAGGCAAGACTAGAGCAACCCAAGACCTGGCCTGGCTGGCTACGGCAATGCTCATTGCTCTTCTGGGTGGCCGTGGGAAACAGTAGCATGTGGCGGTTGACATCTTGATTTTCAGCTATCTTGTACAATCAAAACGCAGGACCCAGGGATCTGCTTAGCTTCCACCTCTTGTGTCGTCACTGCTGGATTGTTTATTTCTCCCTGCCCATGATCCAAACAAAAACCCCACAAATGGTCCGGAAGAGAGAAAGAAGAGGATCCTGTCAGGAGAAATTTATCAGGAGAATGTAACAGTGCTTTATTTCCACAACCTTGTGTGCTTTTGCTTTTGGGATCTTGCAGGAAAGAAGGAACATGATGCATCTATAAGTTCATTATTGCGAAACACTAAGGAGAAGAGTTAGATAAGGCGTCCCCAGATGACTAGAGCAGAGTGAGGATAAATGATGTGAAAGTGAGAGGAAGTGCTCAGGAAGAGAAGCCAACTGTCCCTTTTGTGACATCTAGCAGGGTCTCCCTAAAGCTGCCTCCTCAAAGGAAGGGTCCCCAAAGGGAAATGAAACGTGGGTAGGGCTGTGCTGGGAAGCTGAGTTTTCACTTGGCAGGCAGTCAGATTAAGTGATCCAACTAGACTCCCCTTCATGTTCTCTTCCTCTTGTGTTACCTCAGGGCACTACGATTTTTCCCATCCTCAATTCTGTCCTCCATGACAGTAAAGAGTTTCCAAACCCAAATGAGTTCAACCCTGGACATTTCTTGAATGCGAATGGCACCTTTAGGAAGAGCGAGTTCTTCATGCCCTTCTCAGCAGGTAAAGCACAGGCTTTCTCTCTCTTCCTCTCTCTGTTGACTTCCTGCTCTGGCCAAGCATCCTGTCTTTCCCTATAACACACACTCCCTCTCCCTAGCATGGTCCTCTTGGTGCTTCCTTGGGGCTCACTGCTCTTTGGATAACTCCTCCGTATTGCTATTCTCCTTAGCTGCATTTCCCATCTTGTTTGGGGCTTCTCAAACCTCCTACTAGGAGTTGCCAATATAATGATACAAGTGGGACCCACTGACACTTTCTAAAACACCTGTCACCTTCCTGCACAGCCACCAGTCATCCTTAAGCAACCCGTCTTTCTGTTCTTCCTTCACATACCCAATCAAACGGCCAAGGGTTTTTCTTCAACAAACTCTTCTCTTGCAAATGTCCTCAGTAATCCTAACGGTCATCTCACTGCTGTGGGTGTATCTGGTAAACAAAGCTGTGCAACACATCTGCTTAGCACAAACTCTGGTCTAGTCAGCAGAGTGCTATTTGCTGTTTTCACTTCCAGGGAAGCGAATATGCCCTGGAGAGGGCCTGGCACGCATGGAGATATTCTTATTCATGACCACCATTTTGCAGAACTTTACCTTGAAGCCTACTGTCAATCCCCAGGAAATCAACGTAATCCCAGTGCTGAGTGGGACAGGCAATGTACCTCCTGCCTACCAGCTCTGTGCTATCCCCCGTTGAAAAGCACAAAACCGTTCTCTGCACTCTACCACTCCTTCTCCTGGGTAGAAAATTGACTCTGTCCCAGCTGAAACCAGGACACATGTCCCTTAATAAAAACAATTGCAGGAGCATTGGCCCACCTTTCCAAGGCCTCCAAGAAGGCAGCCCAAACACAGGTACAGACACAGAGTAGACGCCTTCAAAGCCTCCCAGAACTGCTCCATCACATCTCAGGGAGGCCTTGGGTGTCATTATAGCCTGTTGCACTGATACTCTGTCCATGGGCTCATTGAGTGCAGTGGCTGCATCAAACAGCCGATTTTCTCACAAATGGCTCTTGCCATGACATGTTTCTCCTTCAGCATGGGCCCCCCCAAAACAGCAGCGTGCTTTGCATGTGGATACCGCTGTATGTGTCTTTGTTAATGACCCAATAAAGAAAAATCTGTTTGAAAAGACTTGAGCCATAATTTTCTTTGGGTTAGGTTGGTACCTACATCTGCTGCTCCACTGCAGAGTAGGTCTGCAGTGCCTGTGGCCAGTGCCCTGTGGGAAAGGCTGTGCCTACAGGGGCAAGGCTCCTGCCTGCTTCATCTGCTGGACCCGTTGCTGCTGCCTTCAAGGACCCCCTGCCAGTCACAGCACGAGACCAGGCAGGAAGACTCGCAGTGCAGGGTAGGAAGAGGGTCCTGCAGCCTGGGGGCTTTCTGTAGCTCTATCTGCTGTTCTTGGGGCTGCCAACCCCGCTACCCACAGCTGGACAAAGTATAACTGCAGCATCCCTCCTAAAGCGGTGCGTTCAGAGGCTGAAGTTCTGTCTGCCTTCACCCTCTTGATGGGAGCCATGGCTGCTCCGGAGGCTCCTTTCATGTCTCAGACACGCTGTGGCCTAGCCTTCCCACAAGCTAGGAGTGGGAAGCCTTTGCTACGGCTCAGCCCTGTTCTTCTCCCACCAACTCCCCCTTCTGCTCCCTCCCAGGCATTTGCCAGTACAACCTCCCCTGTCACTGTGGCCACTCAGCACCCTGCCCTGAATCAAGGTGGGGCTGCTGAGGAGGTAATTTCTCTGGATGGTGTCTCTTGCCTGAATCACACTTTCATTCCACCTCCCAGCTGAAAAGCCTAGGTCTAAGGAAGAAAACACAGTAGCGAGACACCACTGCAGGTAAGGAACAGCTGAGAACTAAGGGAAGCTGCCATCATGGGGGCAAAGTTCTGCAGCTGGAGTTGCATTTTTATTCCAGTTTTCTTGGGCATTTCATTTCATCTCAGTTATGGTCTGGACTCCTTCTGTCAAATGAAGAGCCTGTCTTCATTTCACTCAGAGCCTGAAGGAACTCAGGCACGTGAGTGGTAAGGACTCCAACAAACTCTCTGGCTGCTCTTTTCTACCATCGGTATCACTGCAAGGGTTTATATGTTCTTTATTAAAACAAATTAATTTAGGGGGACAGCAAAACATCTTTCCCAGAGAGGTTGGGTGCTCCAGGGGAATCTGATTTTGCTTCCACATCTTAGAGACATCATTTCAAACAGCCCTTCCCCCATCCAAAGTCTCTTTCCCGTTTTCCATAGAATTTCATGTACGTGCAAAGAGAAAACTCTTACTGCCACCGTGTGATCCTTGGTGGATTGTGCCTGTTATTTCTGGCCCCAGCCACTATTTGGTGGGGTTTTTTCAGTGACAGGATGGATGGTTTTCATAAATGGATTCCACCACAGGTGTCTCTCTTCTGTGTTTCTGCATCCTCATGGGCTCTGGTTGTGTCTGGATCTCCAGTTTGCAGTGTCTGTCTTGATCTTCATTTACATATGTATTTGTTGCTCCCTGCACTATGGTCATATAAAAGTCAGAATTTCTATGATGATTGTCACAAGGTAGTCAGAGACCTTGTGAGTGCTGCAGAGAATACAGTACGCAAGAATTTCCACCTCCCTTTGGAAACGTTTAGCAGTATTTTGAAGAACTATCACACTTGTTCACATCTTGGGTTCTTCCCTCCTTCGCCCTCCATTTTTGCTCATGCAGAACACAGCTATAATGCCTGCGCGTTCTAAACCAACCGCAAACCACTGTTGGCCTCTTATTTGGGATTTCATCAAATGGACAGACATGCAACCAGAAATAGCAGTCATGTAGGAGCCCCAGGCAAGCATGGGGAAAGAGATCACCATGAGCTCTGTAATAGTTTAGGGCTACTCTTAAAGCCAGTCCTGCATTTGGTAAGTTGCTCAGCAGTACGCGTATTATGTTGCGAATCCGTTAAAAGATGACTTAAACTGGCTGATGCACTGGTAAGATCTCTACTTGTGCTGGAGGAAAAAGCAGTGGGTCGTAGCAGTGGCAGACTCTACTTTGAAAGGCACAGAGGCACCCATCTGTCCGCCTGACCCAGTCTCAAGGGAGGTGTGTTGCCTACCAAGGGCACAGATCAGGTATGTTGAAGAGAGGCTGCCTGCTCTAGTAAGTCCCACTCACTATTACCCCTTTCTAGTGATCCATGCAGGTGCTAGTGACATAGATATCCTGGGGAACATAAAGGAGGACTACAGAGCCCTGGGAGAGGTGGCTGGGGGCTCTGGGGCTCAGACAGTCCTTTTGTCAAATCTCTAGGATGCAGGGGAGGACCCTAAAAAGGCTAGAAGGATTAGCCAGGTTAATAAATGGTTAAAAGGGTGGTGTCATAGTCAGGGATTTGGGTGTCCTGAACACGGGACCCAAGCTTGGAGGCCAGGTGTAGTGGGGGCTGGTGGAGCTGCTGCTAAAGAAGGGAAAGAGCAGTTTTGGTAGGAGGCTTGCCAGACTGGTCAAGGAGGCTTTAAACTAGATGTGTTGAGGGAGGGGGCATCATTCCTTCCCAACCCACCCACCCAGTTGCCAGCACCTATAATAAATGCCTGTAGCAATGTAGAGATATTCCAGCCGCTCCAGCCAATGAGCCAGCTTCAGTTGGAGCACAGCTCAGATGCCTTTATGCAAAGACCCATAGCATGGGGAACAAACAAGAGGAATTAGAGATGTGTGCATGTCTAGGAGGGGCATGATATAATAGGAATCACAGAAACATGGTGGGATGGCTCCCATGACTGGAGTGCTGGAATTGAAGGTTACAGGCTCTTTAGAAAAGACAGAACTGGCAGGCAGGGAGGAGGAGTTGCCCTTTATGTTAGGGATAGGCTGGAGAGTATGGAACTGTCTGGGGACAGGTGAGCAGTGAGAGTGCTTGTGGGTGAGGCTTAAAGGGAGAACAGCTATAGGGGACATTACTGTGGGGATCTGTTACAGACCATCTGATCAAGAGGAATCTGTGGATGAAGCACTCTATAGACAGATAGGAACAGCCTCACGCTCGCAGGCCCTTGTTCTCATGGGTGACTTCAACCACCCTGACATCTGTTGGAGCGATGGTACAGCCCAGCACAAGCAATCCAGGAGGTTCCTCGGTTGTGTGGAATACAATTTCCTTCTGCAAATAATAGAGGAGCTGACAAGGAGAGGTGCCATGCTTGACCTTGTGCTCACCAACAGGGAAGGGCTGGTTGGAAATGTGACGCTCCAGGGCAATGCTGGTGGTAGCGATCATGAGATGGTCGAGTTTGAAATCCTTGAGACAGTGAGAAGAGCATGCAGCAAGCTCACTGCCGTGGACTTCAAGAGAGCAGACTCTGGCCTCTTCAGGAACCTGCTTAGTAGAGGTTCCATAGGATATAGCCCTAGAGGGCAGGGGGACCCAAGACTTTTGGTTGATATTCAAGGATCACCTGCTACAAGCTCAGGAGTGTTGCATCCCAACTAGAAGAAAGTGCAGCAGGAGGGCCAGGAGACGTCCTTGGATGGATAAGGAGCTGCTGAAGAAAGTTTGAAGGAAAAAAGAGGCTTATAAAAGGTGGAAGCAAGGACAGGAAGCCTGGGAAGAACACAGAAATGTTGTCCAGTAAGCTAGGGGCCAGGTTAGGAAAGCTAAGGCCCAGTTAGAATTAAACTTGGTTAGGGATGTTAAGGATAACAGGAAGGGGTTCTATAGGTACGTTGTGAATAAAAGACAGACTAGGGACAACATAGGCCTCCTCTGAAAGCAATCAGGAGAAATGGCTACCCTGGATTTGGAGAAGGCTGAGGTTCTGAATGACTTCTTTGCCTCGGTCTTCACTGGAAAAGGCTCTGACCACACCACCCAAGTCCTGGAAGGCAGACACAGGGACTGTGAGAATGAAGATCTTGGGCCACTGTAGGAGAGGATCTGGTTCGAGACCATCTTAAGAACCTGAATATACACAAGTCCCATGGTGAAATCCATCTGCGGGTCCTGAAGGAGCTGGTGAATCAAGTTGCTAAGCCGCTGCCCATCATATTTGAAAAATTGTGGCAGTCAGGTGAAGTTCCTGATGACTGGAAAAAGGGAAATATAACCCCCATTTTCAAGAAAGGGAAAATGGATGACCCAGGGAATTACAGACCAGTCAGTCTCACCTCTGTGCCTGGCAAAATCTTGGAGCAGACTCTCCTGGAAGGCATGCTAAGGCACATGAAAAATCAACAAGGTGCTTGGTGACAGCCAGCATGGCTTCACTAAGGGGAAATCCTGCCTGACCAGTTTGGTGGCCTTCTATGATGGGGCTATGGAACTGATGGATGGGGGTAGAGCAGTTGATGTCATCTACCTGGACTTGTGCAAAGCATTTGACACTGTCCCACACGACATCCTTGTCTCTAAATTGGAGAGACATCAATTTGATGGATGGACCACTCAGTGGATAAAGAACTGGCTGGATGGGCACACATAAAGAGTTGTGGTCAATGGCTCAATGTCTGGCTGGAGACCAGTAACGAGTGGTGTCCCGCAGGGATCAGTGTTGGGACTGGTCTTGTTTAACATCTTTATTGCTCACATGGACAGTGGGATTAGAGTGCGCCCTCAGCAAGTTTGCCGATGACACCAAGCTCTGTGGTTTGGTTGATACGCTGGAGGGAAGGAATGCCATCCAGAGGGACCTTGATGTGCTTGTGAGGTGGGCTGATGCCAACTTCATGAAGTTTAACCATGACAAGTGCAAGGTCCTACAGCTGGGTCGGAGCAATCCCAGGCACAGCTACAGGTTGGGCAGAGAAGAGATTCAGAGCAGCCCTGTGGAGAAGGACTTTGGGGTGTTCGTCAATGAGAAAACGAACATGGGCCGGCAGCGTGCACTTCCAGCCCAGAAAGCCGACCATATCCTGCATCTATCTGTCTATAGAGTGCTTCATCCACAGATTCCTCTTGATCAGATGGTCTGTAACAGATCCCCACAGTAATGTCCCCTATAGCTGCTCTCCCTTTAAGCCTCACCCACAAGCACTCTCACTGCTCACCTGTCCCCAGACAGTTCCATACTCTCCAGCCTGTCCCTAACATAAAGGGCAACTCCTCCTCCCTGCCTGCCAGTTCTGTCTTTTCTAAAGAGCCTGTAACCTTCCATTCCAACACTCCAGTCATAGGAGCCATCCCACCATGTTTCTGTGATGCCTGTTATATCATACCCCCCCCAGACATGCACACATCTCTAATTCCTCTTGTTTGTTCCCCATGTTATGGGCATTTGTATAGAGGCATCTGAGCCGAGCTCCAACTGAAGCTGGCTCATTGGCTGGAGCGGCTGGGATATCTCTACATTGTTCCGAGCAGTTATTATAGGTGCTGGCAACTGATTCGGTGTGTTGGGATGGAATGATGCCCCCTCCCCCAACACATCTAGTTTAAAGCCTCCTTGACCAGTCTGGCAAGCCTCCTACCAAAACTGCTCTTTCCCTTCTTCATCAGAGCAGCTCCACCAGCCCCCACTAGACCCGGCCTCCAAGCTTGGGTCCTGTGTTCAGGACACCCAAATCCCTGACTATGACACCACCCTTTTAACCAGTTATTAACCTGGCTAATCCGAACTGCCGCGCTCCCTGGGCAGGTATTTACCCAGTCAGGGTTGGTGCCACTGCCTCAGGCTCCGCCCCCTGTGAGTCAGCTGTTAGGGTCAGCTGAGCTGCCGGCTCCCGGGCAGGTCCTGTCGAGGACTTGAGGCTCCCTCGGTGGCTCTTGTGGCTCTGAATTGAGGCTCGTGGACACTGATCTCCCCCCGGCTCCGGTGTTGAAGGTGTCCTCTCTCAAGCTATTCACCTCATCAATTGATAGTCACTGTCAGCATCATAGGAAGTATAGCTTCCATCTGGGATAGAAGAAAACCAACAGCCATTTTAGAGCAGGAACAAACAGAAAGAGAGCCCGAGAGCATCCTTTATAGCCATGGCAATAAGTTCCCACCAAGGCAGGGAAGAAGCAGTGCTGGATTGACCCATCAAATACTCCTTTAATTCTCAGCAGAGATCAGAGCTCTGCACCAGGACGCTCGAACAAGTCCTGCAAATCTATCCTACCTGAGGCAACACGCAGCTCCAAGGACAGAGGACCTGGCTGGGACACAGCAAGGAGTGGTGGCAATGTGAAGACTTGAACACTCAAGGGAATGAAGCTCCCAATGGTGGAGTAACTACAGCGGACATGTAACCTGGTAGGACAGGAAAGCCCCAAATGAATCGGATAAAGGTCACTCTGATATCTCCTTTCTCCAAGATGACAAAGAAATAGTTGCTTTAATTAGTCATGTCCCCAGTCTTTCATCCCACATTTCCTTTTAACGCATACTGTGAATTCTTTTCAGAGTTCAGATTTGAGCCTGTGCAGCTTCACTGATCAGCATCAGCTTTATTCTTGCCAACTAGAGACATACCAGACCTTAGCCTACTCTATTGCCCTGTTGTGAATTCAGAGCTAAAGACAAGATGAAGTTTCTCTGGTGACACTGAACACAGCGGCATTCAGCAATACAAGCCCCAGAGTATTACCTGAAAGTGCTATCCCTAGTGACAGAGCCAAGCCTCCCGGTCTTCACATCCCTGGATGCCACCAACACATTCTCATATATGACCTGGTCTCCAGTCACCTGGAAGGACAGACCCGGCACTGTCACTGCAGTAAAGTCAAGCTGGATTAAGGCTGGGCTGAAGAACAGCATTTGGCCTCCGGAAGTCTACAAGGTGCCCACTAAGTAGCTAAAGCCACACCAGGCTATTCCAGGTCTGCAAGCTCCTGCTATTCTAGCCTGGTGAGGGCCGTAGCTCTTACCTGAAAAGTGGTGCCACAGGCAGGGAGCGGGAAGTGGTACACAACAAATGCATTGTTTTTCACAACAGGCACACAGCCAGTACTGTGTCCACTGGCCAGTTGCACAGAGTTCAGGATAACAGGTGGCAGGGTCGCATCCCGAGAGACAGCAATGGAAAAATGGCCATCTGGTGTGCAACGAGCCGTCACTGGAGGAAAAGATACAACCAGTCTTGAGCTCAGGGAGAAGTGGGATGGAAAGGAGGCTCAAACATCACAGCAAGGACAAGGCCAGCAAGTCCTGCAGGTTCTCCTGCCTGTCACCCCCAAAGCAAGTGCAAAGTACAGCCAGACAAGCTTAACCAGCTCCAAGACTAACACCAAACCTGGCCATAAGCCAGGCTATGTTGCAATACACATGAAAGAGCTGGGTGCTTCAATAGGACAGAGTATTCTTGACAGCCAAAAACATAGCCCTAAGCCACCTGCAGAACCGGTACACACTAATCCTGCTCTGCCAGGGAAGTGAGGAATCCCAGTCTGCAGCTCCTCCAGGAAGAGGGGAGAGCAGTTGTTCACACTTACCTGTGTTACCAAAGTAACAAGGCATCACCCTATCCCTAGGGTCATAGCAGCAGCCTCGCACTTCACAGTCTCCTTGGCTGACAGGCGAGGAGGCACACAGCAGTCGGTCTTGGCTGAGTACAGCAGAGCAGACACTGCTGCTTGGAGCATCCAGGGCTGGAAGAAACAGCAGGAGTTTGTAGCTATAAAGCTCAGGAGTGAGGGACAAAGTCACAGAGGACACTGGAGGAAGGTATCATGGTGATGCAGCATACAAGTCAAAGGAAGCTGGACTCTGGTGAGGATCAAACACATGCCTGGAGCTGGCATGGAAGCCTGCTCAGAAAAGGCCTGTATTTCCCTGGGGCCTTGTCAAGGAGACTGCGCTGCATGGTATCTGCCAAGGTAAAGTGCTCCGGTAGATAGGAAAATCATTGTATCTAGTCTCTGGCTCAATCCCTGAGTTTACAGGGACTTACACTCAAACCGGGGCTAGGAAACACAAGGCACATTCAGCTGCTAGGCTGGCAAAGGAGGAACAAGTCCCCAGCAAGCTAGGGGCTCCTGCATCTAAACCATTCTCCAGGGAGTCTCTTCTGCCCAACAGCAAGTCCCCTTTCCCAACCCACTAACTGACTAGGAACATCCATCTGAAAGGAAGGGTACCCACTGACACAGATACAAGCAGAGTTTCCCAAGGGGCTGCCAGAATCTTACCAGGAAGGTCCACAGGGCACCTGAGCAGCTTCTCTTCATGAAGAACTTTTTGTCCAGCAGCATCAGTTTCTTCAAGCCCGACCAGCATGAGATAATGGCCATCCTGCAGGAGAGCCACACCAGTCAGGGCAGCCAGAGCAGCAGCAGTCACAGTGCCAGCAGAACTCCTGAGGTTGCTTACCCATTCAAAGACATAACAGCCAGTATAGGAGACCATTACTGTCCGGGAGCCATCTGAAGTCCCAAATACCAAGAGCCCACACTCCGAGTCATTCTGCAAAGCATGTGCCTTCCCCTCAATATCTAGGGAGAGAGACGACAGCAGCAGAGGCTTCAGCATCCTACATTGAATATAGAGTTCACTACAATCCTATTTTTCCATAGGCAATAAAACCCTAGCCAGTACTGGGGTCTGAACCAGCAGAGGCCCTTGGGAAAGCCCAGCAGCCAAGACTGGCTAGAGCCAAGCATAGCACTCCACCACAACCCTTGACTGGTGGGTCACCCAACAGCCCCCTGGCTACACGAGATACATTGAAGCTGCTGGGCAACACTTCACATTAAAACCTTCCTCCTTCTCCTCATTCCAGGCATACCTGTGCACTGTACAAAGACACAGCAGCAAGAAAGCCTCCTGACAGAATCCTCACTTACCCCAAGCAGTCAACATAAAGGTAGCATTCCCTTCCCAGCCTGGAGATAAGGTGAGCTGCATGCTTTCTTGACCACAAGCCAGCAGACTGGGATCAGAAAAACCACCACCCTGAGCTCCCATAACCAAAGCCAGGAGACCAAGAAACCCCAAGAAGAGCATAGCTCCAAATGCAGTCCTAGACTGTCCTACAACACCCATCCTGCTCTCTTGCTAAGGGCCACAAAGCAGCTGCTCTTAGCCTAGCCCTTTTATATCTTGGAGCCAGCTGGGATCAGAAATCCATTGAGTGTCCAGGTGGACCCAGACCAACAATTTAACACCTTCCATTGCCCTCACCTGGCTCTGAGCCCACCACAGTCTGTTTGCACCCTTTGAAGAAAACCACAGGGCAGGAACTGAGCTTGTGTCAGGAGCCGTATCTGTCTTCGCCTCACTAAGCTAAGAGAAGCTCCTCTGTGCCATTTGCTGTAGAGCTCCAGGAGGATCTTCAAACCCTGTTTTCTGACCCTGAGTTCTTCCCACCACTGGTTCATCCAGGATATCTGCCTGCTTGCCCCTGTGTAGCCTGCTGCTGCTCTAAGTGCTCATTACATCGCATTAGTGCAAGAAGCTGAATGACAATGCTCTTTTGCTCTTTTAAAGGTGCCACTGCTTCAAACGCCGACACAGGGTGCTCACATATAAACACAGAAACAGCCCTCCATGTGAAATCTGTGGAAAACCACGATGCTCAGGAGACTTTGCACACCTAAAAGGAGGTGACTCCCGTTAAGCACTCCTGCCTGTGGACTACACCTGCATTTGTAGTGTGGTTGTATGGGGTAGCAGCAGGACTCTTCCAGGCCTGGCTGCAAGGTGCCAGGGCCATCCGCTGTGTGGAACCCTCACAAGCTGGCAGGAGGAGCCCTGATGGGCCTGAAATACAGACAATGGGAGCCTCCGTGACCCCAGAGAAAGCCCTTCCTGCCAACAGCCACTGCCTGCAGTAACTGCAATGTGTCTCATGTGGAGCCTTCTCCCATGCCACACATCAGGCTACAGCAACCACACAGAGTAAAAGCCTTATTGTCCATCTTCCATACAGATGTTTCTGCATTCATGCAATGGAGGTGTGCATGTCTTTACATTGTTGTAGGGGTGATGCACACATACTTTGTGCATGCTTTTTTATGCCCTACTTTTTGCAGTGGGAGCACTGGCCTAGCCTGTGCCACCATGTTCTTTTGTAATCTGCTTATTCCTTTGGGGCTAGATCATCACACACTTCCCAGAAGAGTGTGTGGGTTAGGTGAGTAGGATGTCTAATCTTGACCCGTAATAATGTACTCCCATTGCTATCCAACCACACTTCTGCTCTCAGCAGACCCTCTTGCTCCTTGATGTTTGCACAGCACCACGCAGCAGGCAGCATGATTGCCTCTCCAGCCAGCCCTCATCAGCAGGCACGGGTAGTAACTGAGTCTAAGGGAAGTGCTTCCTCTGCTCTCCCACCTTAGCCTACAGCCCATCTTTCCTCTACAGCTCTACAGGATGCCGTGATCCCATCTAGGTGAAGAACATTCCTGTGCCTACCGTGGACACCGCTTATTTCACGCACCAACCAGAAAGGCTGTTCCACAAGGAACAAGACCTTTTCAGCTGCTCGGCACCGCAGAGGCTGGTACACATGGATCTCAAAAGGCTGCCTGTAGGGCTGCTGTTTGAGCAGTGCTCATGAACCAGATGTGCTCCTGCCTGTGCCCTGCCAAGGCACTGACCAGCCACGGTGGAGAGGCACCTAGGAAAAACGTTTGGACTTTGTCAGGGAGGGAAACTTCACCTCTGTACAAGCTGAGCATTGTTCCAAGTCATCCTGCCTCATCTCAGAGCTACTGTATGACTGCTGAATGCTTCATTTGACTGCAACACTTGCTGATAATTGGGTTAACTATAACAAATAAACAAAGTACTTTGGAGCTATTTCATTACACTTTAACACATCAATACTTTGCTTATGCTGACAGGATAAAACGCCTACACATACTTAAAGAGCAACTCTGTGAATCAACACTGGGAGTGCTGTAGATCCACCAAGCAATATCTGTGCTAAACCCACTTTCAAGTAAGCACCCTTTCCTAATTTCTACACACACATTTGAAAGCCATGTTGGGTGATGTAGAGACGGGAGGCAAGTGAAATGAACCTGAAATTCACGGAAATTAAATGCTTTGTTTGGAAGTTGTTATAGGAAGTGGAAAGCAACCTGGCTGAGAGGAAACAGGCAGGTCTCTCCAATCTCTTCCTCATGTATTTGATAGCTCCCACACGATGTAACGGCCCAGCTGTAAGCACCAATTTAGCTAGCACCCAAGACCACCACAAACGGGACATGCAGAGGAGGAAGGTAGGTGAAGCAAGCATCTCTTCAGGCCACTCGTCTTCAGCTGATCATGACTCCAGCAAGCTAATATTGCCCTGGGATGTCCACCAGGAAAATCATCTCCTCCTAATGATTTTGAGCCTGGGAAACTGGGCAGACAGGGTGGCAGTAGGAATTGCGCTGGCTCGAGAGACCTATTGGAAGGAAACTTGGTATTGAACACCACCATCAAGAAGTGTTGGGAAAAGGAACTGAAAATGCCCCGTGTGTTGAAGGACAGCCTCCGACAAGATCACTGTGTGTCTGGCCCCTACATGGTATGGGTAGTGTCCACGTATGGTACAAAATGGAAGTGCATGAAAGAGTGATTCAGCCAAAATAATCCTCCACAGAAGCTGAACTGCATTTGCAGACAACAGGGATGTCTGCACTAAGCATTCCAGGTACAAGGGTTCTGGCAGACGTGGCGTCTCACAGTGCCACCTTCTGAACCGAGGTCCAAAATGAGAAGGCACAGGCAGCAAGCCTGAGGAGATTCTACACAGTGATGGCAGGTTTTTCTCAAGCTTGTGCTTTATTAAAAAAGAGGCAAAGCTACAAAACTGGTAGCCTTATTTCTTTGAAGACCCTTACTACGTGCTTCCAATGAACTTAGAACAAAAGTTCCTGGGGAAGATGGAGAGGGGAGGATTTCAACCTTACCTTCCTGGACTTTTACATGGATGGAGAGGACAGACCAACCCTTCCTACTCTTAGTGTCTGCAAACAGAAGTGAGTACTCAGAAAACCCTTGGGCACTACCGTGACATGAAATGGTCCATGCTTTCCCACAGTGAAAGATTTGAGTGACTAGTTTTATGGGTTTCCCCCCCACCCCCTTGTAAATCCCCCAGAGTGTCTGCAGGGTGGTAGGAATGTTTGGAATATAATGATTTTATCCTGATAAAAATGAGAAATTTTGAAAGTATTCCTTGTTCCAGAGCTTTTGTCCAAAGTATGTTGCAAACTGCGAGACAGAGCTGAGAAGTGACCCCTTGTCACTTTTCAGGAAAGAGGGAACTTTACAGAGAACATGGTAAGCTCATGAACTCTATCAGCAGAGGTACCTCATGTAGCAGTGCAAACTCCCATGAACTCCACTTTCACCAGATCAAAGGCCGTAGAACTACATGAACTTCCATGACCTTCTCTGGAAACGTCTGAGCTGATGCAGGAGTTTAGGCCAGCCCAGCAACCAGCCCAAACTTGTTGGCTATTCAGATTTTCCACTGAGGTAACAAATATGGATCTTTAAGAAGTAAAATGAGATTTTAAAACACCAACTAGCAAATTATTGTGCCTGTGAGAGAGAGCAAGGATGACTTAAGGATGACATAAGGATGAACAAGGATGACATACAGAAGCCACAAACTTTTGCAAGGGATCACAGAATCATAGCATGGCTTGGTTTGGAAGGGACCATAAAGCTCATCTAGTTCCAACCCTCTGCCATGGGCAGAGACTTTCCATTAGACCAGGTTGCTCAAAGACCCATTCAACCTGGCCTTGGATGGAGACCTTCACTAGGATCTCTGAGTGAAAGGGAAACTCACGTGAACACACTGCTGCACAGCAAACCCAGCACACTAGGCCCCTCACTAATTCCCACCAAGTCCCTCATCCTAGGTACTCACAACATCGGCTCAGTTAGATGAGCTCTATCTGCCTGCAAAAGTGTCACAGCTCAGGAGGCACGGAGGGATACGGCAAGACTGAGCAAGCTGAGCACAGTCAGTGCCACAGCCCTAAGGATCCTTTCTACCTGCCATTGCCACTGCTGTTGGGACCTTGCAAGTACACTGCCCTTGGAGTAATGTTTGTCAGGAAGCCCCCAGCTCTTTTTGAAGTCCTTGCGGCATACCAGACATGCCGTTTAGCCTCCCAGAGCACCTCTGGTCCTTCCAGGGAAGCAGTTCCTCATACCAGAGTCAAGACATCAACAAAACAGGAGCTTGTGCGGGCCAGCTTCCATCAGTAGGCTAGGTGAACTTCTTTGGCCATTGCAAGTGCAAGGACTAGTTGCCAGGTTGCACTAACCTATATCCAGCTTCTCACATGTGCAGCTTTGTCTCAGCTTGGGATGTCATTCCCTAAAGATGCTCTCAAGTTGTTGATTTCTCTTTTCTCTACCTCCTTATCTCAGTCTTTCTCTCCTCTAGGAGACCTTGAAGAGGTCTAGTCCCCTTTCCTTCTGTGTTTATGTTATCTCTCTCAGCAAACCCTTTCTTGTCTGTTGTGATGTCTGGAGGCCTTTCTGCCCTTGCTAGATGGATACTTTTTTACTTTTGTCTCTTGTGAGGCCAGACAGCCCTATGGAGAGAGACCAAGATGATTGCTGTGCACTGAGAACCTGTCAATAAGTTCTTTGTCTTACTGTATGAAGCACAAACTCCACTGTTAATGTCAGGAAGACTTCCGGAACAAGCAAGGATGGCTGACCCCACTGAGAGCTTGTACAGTCAATACCAAAGAACAGAAAATCCAAATGGCATTGAAGAACTTGGAAGATGTTCTCGCAACAGTGAATTTCTGCGAGCACCCCAGTAGAAAAGTGCACTCCTATGCGTGACCTCTTTAATGATAAACTTCAGATGAAACAAAAGAAGTTTTAGCAGCACATTACAAGTTTCTTAACCACTCTTGGCTGCTGCAGTTATTTGAGATAAGGTCTGTTTTCAATGACCAACTAACGCCAAAAGAAATCCTAGTTTCATAACGCAGGGCGGTCTAACAAATGATTGACTAGTAGTGTTGACTAAGCCGTGTAATCAAAAACCTGCTATTGAACCAACATAGCCCTTCTGTATATAAATTTGGGCTCCGGCAGCCAGAGTCACTC